TAATTGGCACATGAAGAAGCATGATGCAGACTCCTTCTACCAGTTTTCTTGCAATATCTGTGGCAAAAAATTTGAGAAGAAGGACAGCGTAGTGGCACACAAAGCAAAAAGCCACCCTGAGGTGCTGATTGCAGAAGCTCTGGCTGCCAATGCAGGCGCCCTTATCACCAGCACAGATATCTTGGGCACTAACCCAGAGTCCCTGACGCAGGCTTCAGATGGTCAGGGTCTTCCTCTTCTTCCTGAGCCCTTGGGAAACTCAACCTCTGGAGAGTGCCTACTGCTAGAAGCTGAAGGGATGTCAAAGTCATACTGCAGTGGGACAGAACGGGTGAGCCTGATGGCTGATGGGAAGATCTTTGTGGGAAGTGGCAGCAGTGGGGGCACTGAAGGGCTGGTCATGAACTCAGACATACTCGGTGCTACCACAGAGGTTCTGATTGAAGATTCAGACTCTACCGGACCTTAGTGGAAAGGAAGACTTTGGGCATGGAACAGCTCAGACTTTGTATTTAAAAGTTAAAAAGGACAAAAAAAAAAAAAAATCTAAAGCATTTAAAATCTAGTAAAATAACCGAAGGGCCTGCTCTTTCCATTGTGGATCACAGCACACACATACATACACCCTCCAACCCCCATTCCCTGTTCTCCCTCTATTGCCCCCCTTATAAAATTGATGTTGTCTTTACCAGAAAGGTAGACAAAAAAGAAGCAGCAGCAGCTCTTAAAGTGAGGGTTATTCTCATACTCAGTTCCAGCCATCAGCAGACTCCCTGCTCTTTGGCAGATCCCCTTTCCAACCTATAACTCTGATGTGCTCTGGATCAGCTTTTAATAGTGTATTACTGTCTTCTAAATCCTTTCTCCTTCTCTACTGCTGCCCTGTGGTTCTGGCTCCTTCCCATTGTGGCACACATTTTCAAATACCATAGAATTCTAATCTCCAGAGGCTGGCAGCTTGACTTGGCACTTTAGGGCCCCTTAGCAGGGTGAGCTGTTAAAACAGCACACATCTTTCATCCCCTCTTCCTTTTCCCCCACTGGGTTTCAGAAAGGAAGGATATATGGGGACCACCTCTCTCCTCTTTGATCCCAGCATCTCAGTCCCCCCTCCCAACCCTCCATATGGCCCTCAATGGTGCTCACTTGCTGGAAGCAGGCTCCCAATAGGGAGGGGGCTGCCCTCTACACAGTCTCTTTGACTGTAAGACAGGGCTCTGTATCAGTGAAACGATGAGAAAAGTCCCAGGCTAATGGCGGAAATTTGCACTTTGAACATGTGTGTTTTTGTGTTGTGGAACCTGAGATTCCTTATTTATTAACAGAAAGTCTGATTTTTTTTTTTTTTTTTTTGAGTCTTTGTTGCTATATTTTGTGGGGCTGGGAGAGAGAGAGATTAGATTATTTTGACATGGGATCCCTTCCATAACAGGTACTTTGAAGGTAAGACATAGGGTTGAAGAAGCACAGCCAGCCTCTGAAATCATAGCTCTCCAGTGGCCTTTAAAGAAAGCTGGTCCTCAGCACTAACAGAATCACTACAATAGCCTAGTGCTTTTTTGGAAGCCTTTTTAGGGAAGAATGTTAGGTTTATGGTAACTAGCATGCTCTTTGAGATATTTAGAGCGTTGAGACTTAGGAATTTCTACAGGATGCGGAGGGTTGTTCAGAATCTAAATTACAGATAGAAGATTCTTGTGAATTTGTTTCTTTTGTTATCCCTACCATTCATTTCCTTATATTTCCCTCATTGGCCCAACTCTGGCTCCTTGCTTTTTGTTTTTTTGCTTTGCTTTTATCATCAGTTAATTCCAGCTCCCTATTAGTGAAGGACACTGCTGTTAGTGAAGGAATAAAGCCTGTGAGTCCTAAAGTTTTAAGTCAAAGAAAACTGTTCTGTTTCCTCTTCAGTAACACTTCAGAAGAGGAAAAATTTTAATAGCCAAAGTTAATACTTCTGTATAATAACTGGTTTGGCTTTCACCTAAAATTGTGGGAATCATAATTTCCTTGGAATAGAGATTTTGTTGGGGCATGGATTGCTTATTGCTGTTCACTGGAGAGAAAAGCTAGTGTTTTTGTACAAAGTCATATCCCTAGAAGCCCAACTTCCTGTTTTGGCTCATTTTTAGGTAAAGGGCAGTTCCTATCCTGTGTGCCTCAGAAGCTGGAATTGAAGGCTTACCCTGTTCATTGTTTATTGTCAGAAATGCATGATGGCTGTTGGAAAGAATGAGGTTTTGCTGGGGGGTGGGGGGGAAAGAACAACTTGTTTTTCACAAACATGGTTTATCAATTTTTTTAAAATACTTTTTTCCCCAAAAAGAGGATTAACAAAATGTCATTTCTGAAAGAGGCTTACTTTACACCCACTAGTGTTGGCAGTTGGGATGCCAGGAAGTAGGGAGTGAGACACCTACAATCAACAGTCTCAAATGCACTATTGTTTCTTTTAAGAGTGTTGCAGATTTGCCATTTCTCCAATATGGAGACAGAAAATGGAATAAAGATAGAAGGGATGTAGAATATGCTTACCTGCCAACAATAAGGGTTTGGAGTTGACTTTGGTATATTGAGTAGATTTGAAAATGCCAGATTGATTGGATGAGTCTACAAAAACGTTGTCCTGATATCCAATCCTTTTTATACTGTTTGACTAGCTAGCATTTATAGTCCACTCTTAGCTTTTTTCTTTGTCGCACTTATCCTTTGTCTCAAGTTTCATTTGCAGTGGTTAGTCATCAGATATTTTAGCCACCTACACAAAAGCAAACTGCATTTTTTAAGATCTTTCTGAGATGGGGAAAAAATGTATTCTTCTTTCCTATACCACTCTCCCCTCCCCACAAAAAAAACAACTAGTTCTACTAATTAGAAACTTGCTGTACTTTTCCTTTTCTTTTAGGGGACAAGGGCCCTCTTCATAGCTGCCATTTGCATACAATGAATTATTGCAGCAGTTTGCAATACTAAAATATTTTTTATGGACTTTATATTTTTCCTTTTGATAAAGGGATGCTGCATAGTAAAGAGTTGGTGTAATTAAACTATCTCAGCCCTTTTCCTGATTTCCTTTCTGCTCCTTATGCCTCATTGTCCTTCCAGGGAGCTCTTTTAATCTTAAAGTTCTACATATCATACTCTTAGTCAAATTTTGTTACCTTTTTAATAACTCTTCCCACTGCATATTTCCATCTTGAATTGGCAGTTCTAAATTCTGAAACTGTAGTTGAGATAAAACTATTTCATATTTTTGGGATGTCTACCCTCTTGTTTGTGGTTGCCCAGGGTTCTTTTGCATAATTGAGACTCCTTGATACGCTTCAGAGAGTTTGAGCAAACACTGGCCATGGCCATGGGAGTACTGGGAGTAAAATAAAAATATTAAGGTATGGAAAAGCATCCATGTAGAGCACTTAAACCTCCTTTGTACCTGTTTGGGGAAAAAGTATAAAGAGTATACTATCAATCTAAGGTTATTATAGTCTGGTTGTTTGAAATACCATTTTTTTCTCCTTTTGTGTTTTTCCCACTTTCCAATGTACTCAAGAAAATTGAACAAATGTAATGGATCAATTTAAAATATTTTATTTCCTAAAAGCCTTTTTTGCCTATTGTAATGTGCAGGACCCTTCTCCTTTCATGGGAGAGACAGGTAGTTACCTGAATATAGGTTGAAAAGGTTATGTAAAAAGAAATTATAATAAAAGGGATACTTTGCTTTTCAAATCTTTGTTTTCTCTTAATCTAGGTAAGGTATATTAAAAATAAATATGTAAAGAAGAAAAATAAAAGTGGTCTTCATGGAAGCAACTTGTCTTCCTTGGTTGTACTGAGTTACAGTTATCCTAGGGGTGAAACATGTGATGCTGCTAAGCAAACCAAATGCTCTCAGAACAGGTGTTCTGTGGGGCATACTATTGTTTGCTTTTGTTGAGAATCAGGTGGTTAATGTTTTAATGTTTAGTTCTTGATGTAAAATGCTGAAATGACATACATGATTTCTGTTATCATTCAGTAAACTTGGGAATCTTGCTGTTTTGACAACTGCCTTCTAGGAAAAGTGGTCATACTAACCTAGTAGATGGAACATTAAGGATTCTGTGAGGTTAATTTTATCCTGATAGTGACAAAACCTTGATAGCATTTGATATCAGTACTTTTTCTCAAAACTGAATGAATGTATCAAGTACTGATTTTTTGAAAAAACTATGATCCTTCTGCCTTCTTAGAAGTCCTACTGTAACTGCTGCCCAGGCCGCTCTCCCACATCTCCCATTTATTGTTTACTTTTGTAAATTTGCTTCTAAGATGTCATATGTTTCAGCTTATTGGCAATATCTGTGATATAAATGATGAAAGCTAATTCATTCATTCAGGAATGAAACTTTCAGCCCTTACCCAATAAGTGTCATTCTCCAATTTAAATGCAGTATAGACTGACAGCTCTCCAAATACCTTTTAATTCTTTTATCGTCATTTCAAAGCCCACTTCTCTTATTTTAAGAACGATGTGATATGACTGGGTAGAGAAGAAAAAAGGAAAGCACGTTGTCACTTGAGTTAGACTGCTTTAGAAATGTTACCGAGTTAGCGTTGGGTGTTTCCTGTCCTTTGGAAGAGAACAGGCCTAAACAGTACCTTCCTCCTATGTAGCTACCAGGAAGGCACTATGGTTGAAATTAGAGATGCTCCTTTGCTTGATTTTTAAGTATAAATTAAATTACCTTTAAAAAATACTTAAGGATGGCCATGAAAAAATGCTGTGTTTTTAAAGGACTTATTTCACACAACCTTTGTTTCTTGAACGAAATGTGAACTACCTATACAGAAAATAAAGTTGGAAAGTCAGTGGGAGAAACAACTGTAGAATCAAAGGCTTCCGTTTAAATTCAAACCTCGTTGTTGGATTTTGTGCATGTTATTTCTTGAAGTTTCAGTTTCTTATATGGGAGAAATGGCATTTACCTCAGAATTACTCTGAAGATCAAATGGGATTGCTTTAAAGCATTTAGCACAGTGTCTGGACCCATGGTAGATGCTTAATAAATGGCAGCTATATCAATAATAATAATTTTATTGAATGAACCCTTTGCCAGTCTACAAAAAAACGATATGGGGAGGATAAGGAAGGGTGATAAAATTAACTGATTCTAAGTGTGTATGAGATAGATTACATTAGGCAGGGGTGCCACGAGGATTATTATGATAGTGACCTTGTTGCTAAGTGCAAAAGCAAAACAATGACATAGAAACAAGTGTGCTAAGTACTGAGTGGAGGAGAGACATGGAGGCAGACGCTGCAGGGGGAAAAAAAGACTGATTAAAAAGGGCCCTTTGATTCCACAGGCACAAAAATTCCACAGCCAGGAATTTGCTACCACCTCTGAGTCAGGCCCGTGTGGGGGTGGGGTGCACAATCCCATTAATAGAGAATGCCTAGTGGGTTTAGTCTGTGAGAGTCACATTTCTTATTTGGACCAGTGTAGACGGAAGTAAACCCAGCTCACTTGTTTCCTGGGACAGTTGAGTTAGGGGATGGCTTTTGCAGAGCATTCACCACTGACCCCTCACCGTCGGGACCTCTGTAGCCGCTCTATCTGGCTAGCAAGGAAGATTCGTTCAGACCTGACTGCTCTTACGGAATCTTATGTAAGTTGCCTGTTTTTGCTCTTGTCTGTTTTCCCTTCCTATTTTCTGATCCAGCAACTTACCATCATGTGGCGGCTCCATTACCAATTGTGAAAGCTCTCATCATGTAGTCATTCATAGAAGTTATTTGACATGGGCCCCTTCCTTGAGGAAACCCATGTGACCTTATTTTCATTTTCCAGGCTGTTTAGGAGATGCATTACTTGAATGAGAAAATATATATGGGGTTCTAGATAGAATTGGCTTATATGTCTTGGAGGCTATTTCAAATTTGTTTGCATGTATTCTGAATACTACTAGAATAGATTAGCCATGGGCCCTCTTGAGTTTGGGTTCTTCGTAGCCATTGTTCTGAATTTTTTAGCTATGCAAATGAAAGGTTTATAGGATAGGGAGGAAGAGTACTATGAACTTGGGGGAGTCGCTAAATCCTAGCAATTTCTCCTGTGTAGCCACCTACCTTTTAGTATTCTGCATTAAAAGTAGAGTGAGTCTAAAGAGAATGGTTAGCTATCAAAAAGATCTAGAAGATTCATTGGAGACTTGTGGAAGTGTTAAATTCTTGAGCTAACTGTGGAGTTCCGGGTTGGTTTTCTAATAGTAGGGAAATCCCCATCAGTCTTCACTTAAGATCTGCTGTGGAAATACTCCAGGCCCTGTGGAGAGTTCTGAATTTAGGCTCTCTGAGAACTGATTCATCTTTGTATAGCCTAACCAGACAGAAATCAAACTCTTTGGGAGAGAGAGAACGGAGAGAGGGAAGTTAGATAAATTCTGCAATGGCTATATTCCAGGGCTTCTAAGTTGTGGCCGGTGTCTACAAGTATGTTCAAAAATACTTTAATATGATTAAAATATTCCAGTTTCCAAGAGAGTTTGAAGTAAGAAGGAAATATTCTTCTAAATCAGTAGTTTTCAACCATTAGAACTTAGTGAAATCTGAACATTCTTCCAAGAAAAATGCATAGGTACTCAATTTCAGGGAGTATTGGGTCTTTCTAAAGCCCAGTCACGGAGCCCAAATTAGAGTTCCTACTGTAGGCATATTATTTACTTTACAACTTGGATCCTTGGCCAGAGAGGTGAGTGAGATTTTGTATGAAATTTAGGGGTGATTTAAGGACATTGGGATGATTACAGAAGATGTGGTGTTTTCCTGTATCCTCGGCCAGGTGAAGCATCAGGGCCTGAACAAGAACATCAACCTGGACTCTGTGGATGGGGTGCCAATGGCAAGCACTGATCATTGGAGTGAGCTGACCGAGGCAGAGCGACTCCAAGAGAATCTTCAAGCTTATCGTGCCTTCCACGTTTTGTTGGCCAGGCTTTTAGAAGACCAGCAGGTGCATTTTACCCCAACTGAAAGTGACTTCCATCAAGCTATACATACCCTTCTTCTCCAAGTTGCTGCCTTTGCTTACCAGATAGAGGAGTTAATGGTACTCCTGGAATACAAGATTCCCCCCAGTGAGGCTGATGGGATGCCTATTGGTGTTGGAGATGGTGGTCTCTTTGAGAAGAAGCTGTGGGGCCTAAAGGTGCTGCAGGAGCTTTCACAGTGGACAGTGAGGTCTATCCATGACCTTCGTGTCATTTCTTCTCATCAGACTGGGATCCCAGCACATGAGAGCCATTATATTGCTAAGGAGAAGAAAATGTAGCAGTTGGTCCCTTCTCTCTTCCTTGCTTTCTTTTCTAATGGAATATACATAGTTCCCTGGGGCCTCACTTTCCCATCTCAAATTTCTGAAAATGATTAAGACTACAGGCATTTTTTTTTTTTTTTTTTTTTTTTTTTTTTTTTTTTCATTTTTCCCTGACCACCTGTAGCCTGTTGAAGGACTGCAGGCATTTTCATTAAGTAGGGTTGGAGACACGCACAAATGTGCATACAAGGTTAGTCTGGGGCGGGTGTGTGTACGTGCTGTAGGTGTAAGAGGGTGGGAGCAGGGATAACGTCCTTCCACTTCAGGGTTCTAACCTTTCTAACACTAAGTAACCTCTACAGACATTTAACAGCGTTACAGACGGAATATACATATGTTAATTCTAGTCCTGGATGGCTCGTCTGAGAAGACTCAATTTAAAATCAGACTCTTTAGCCAATTTAAACGCTTAAAGAATAAAAATAATAGCTAACTTTTATCTACTATATTGAGGCAATATGCCAAGGGTCTTTATTATGTACAGCTTTTGCAACCTTGTGAACAAGGTGGTGGTACTCCCATTTGGAAGATGAGAAAACAGGCTCACAGAGATTTGGTTAAGCTCACCCAGCTAACGAGTGACACACTGTTTGAACACAGATCATTCTCCTTGTAAAGCCTGTGTGCCTTTCACTTTAGAGGCTTGATTATGAATCACTGCACCTCTTTGTCACAGGATGTTGGAAGATGCATCCATGTAATCTATTCCCATTGCTGGAAAACAGCTGCCATTACATGTCCTCAGAAGTCAGTTGTAAATTTTAGCGTTAAAGTCAGGATTTGTTGTTCATACTTGGCAGCAAAGAGGGCAGCTGGAGATCTTAAGATTCCACTTTGGAAAATGATTAGGCCCATCAAACTTCTGAACCTTGGAAGCTGGGGCTGTTTCGTAATACAGCCTGGTTTTAAAGTGCCCACTAGTGTTCTTGAATATTGGGTTAGGCACGGCTTACGCCAGGTTACCTCACTTTTACTATAATTAGTAAGCAGGCAGTGTAACCCAGGCATTTATGGACATTGAGTGGAATCCTACTCAAGTCACCGAATTTCCATCTCAAATTTTCTGGACTTAGTCATGAGGAGAGGGTGAGGCCAGCACTGTTTCTACTGGAGATGCCAGAGACTCTGAAACTATACAGCAAAGCCTCTGTGCTGCACAACAAAGAATCAGGCTTTGCTTTTAATTTCTTGTAAGAACCACACATAGTGTGAAAGGTTGTTAAATGTGGCTGTGTACCTGGTGGTATAATGTGAATCCAAACATTTTCAAGTGTGTCATTTATTTTATACTTATCAATTAAAACTCAAGATCATGGATTGGGGGCCCAAGTTAGTTTAATTAATTGAGGCTTCTGTTTTCTTAAATGAGCCATGAGTCAGGGCTAGCTCCCTAGGTTTCATGAAGTGAGGATGGGTAACTTGGCTTGTATCCTTACATGGTGTGTGTATAAACTCCACGAAGTAACTATTACCGGAGTACTCTGGGCTAGGCATTGTAATAGTTCAGGGAAAGTGAGGCCCTGCTTTGTAGTATGCCTTTTGGAAATACAATTGTGTGTGTGTGTACATACACATACACTGTTACTGTAATCAGTGATGCAGACAGTGTAACCCAAGCATTTGTGGACAGTGAGTGGAATACTACTCAAGTTAAAAAGTCACAGAACTCCTTCACCTCACATTCTCTGGAGTTAGTCATGAGGAGAGGGTGAGGCCCACTCTCTTCTCACTGGAGATGCCAGAGATTCTGTGCATGCACACACACACACAGACTTGTAAGTCCCAGGTTTGTTAGGAAGTTAAAGGAAGAAAATTAACGGGGGCCCAAAGCAGTTTCCTGGAGGAGGTAGGAATTATGTCTCAATACAAAACTACAAAATACTCTGTTCTGCTTGGGTACAAAGTAAAAGTCATGAGACAGGGGAAGAGTTGGTCATTTGTAATTTGGGTACAGGTATATAGTTCCCCACTCAATGTATAGTCTTATTGCATTCAAGCTTTGTCTTAATCATTTCTTCTGCTTAACAGCAGCATTCTCAAATAATAAAGTTTCTGCTTATTAATGTGCAGCTCTTAGAGCTATCTGGAATACTTTTGTTCAATGGAGAAATATGTCTAAAACTTCATAATGGGAAATAACTGATTATGAACTTGCAGGATCTAAAATCATCAATTATGCAGGTAAAAATACGTTTTGAAAGTTTTAAAATAAAAAATAAAAAGTTGTCCCCATACTCCCTCCACCAAAAAAAAGTTTTTGAAAAAGAAGTGTCCCATCTCCAAGTGTTTTATGTTCAGCAGGTATACTAGCAGACATCTGCAGATATTTTAGAACTCAGTGGAGCTTGGCTTAAGCTCTCATGAGTAGCAGATGAAGGAATATGTATGTGTAAGAGGTGGATTTGAAGTGGCAGAGGGTCCAGAAAAGGCGCAAGTACTGACCATTGGATGGGAGGAGATAGAAAAAATGTGTAAGTCACAATTAAGTCACACAATCACCAAGTCTTTACCAAGTGCATTCTCAGCACTTTGCAAAAACATCTGTGTATTTGTCTTTGAAGAAGCATACAATATGCACCCGAAAGAAGTGTGGGGAAAGCTCTTAAAGGGGAGACGCAGTGGACCATGCAACAAAAATCAGCATATATGAGATCTGAATGTGTAGACATTGCATTATGTTTCCTTGAAATGGATAAATCAAATAGAATAAGGGACAGTGGATTATTATTCTAGGTGTGTGTCTTGTAGTACAGAAGAGGATAATGATGACACTATGGAATTATGTTTTTTTTAAGGGTACAGAACCCCAAGAAGATTTTGTTCATTAGGTTTTATTCTCTTGGTTCTTAGATCTGATAGAGGTAAGATCTCTGGGAAGTCTTGTATGGTAAAACTATATATATTGAGTTATAGTTTAAGGTACATAGATTTAGTTTCTAGCCTTAACTCATTTTGCAGAAACAATTTCTTCCATGTATTTTCAGAGAGGGCCTTCTGAAAAGTCCTCTCTGTGGGTAGAGAGATTCCGTTTTCCTGAGTCAAGGAATTGCACTGATGAGAACTGATAAATTTTTCTTGCATTCATGTAAGAGAGTGATTTGGAAAAGGCTTGCAAATTAGCACAACTTGAAGACCAAGCATAGAATAAAATTAGCATTAAGATAATCAGGTTTAAGTGATGTGAGAGTTTTAATACAAATGGAAAGTATAAAGTCATAGCTCTGGTATTGCTGTTATTTCAGGCTGCTGTGGATTAATGCCCAAAGGATGACTCATTGTTGTGATCACTTGTCAGACAGGGAGAGGACTAGTAAATATTTCAGGAATACATATCTAAAAAGTTATTTAGATTGAATTTTGTTTGTGAAACCTCAGCTCTTCATGAGATACCTGAGCATCTCTGTTAAGGGGCGAAATAGAGACACAGGAAGCAGAAAGACCTCCACCAGGATGTAAAGGGGATTGGTAAAGAGGAAAGGAGGGGAGAAGTAGCATTTGGATTTCACTTCAGTTGATTTCTCTGTCTTTCGAGGCCTGTGTGTGTGTATGTGTGATACTAATGTCGTGTTTAGGTCAGGACATTCCTTAAAAAGAATGTTTTGGCCTCCTGCCTCATCCCACTTCCACTGTAAGCATCAGACCCACCCAAGAATGAGCTCTCTGAATGTGGGTGCATTCAAAAAGCGAAGAGTGATAAAAACTTTATTTCATGGCTTCCGTTGAGCTCTGACGACCACAGATAAAGACAGAATAAGATAATTTGATAGTTTGATGAAATGTCTGGGTGTGAGATAAAATCCATGTGCTTATGATTTTTAACATAGATATTGTTTGTATCAATCTGGTTTCAACACATAGAAAACAAAAGATGCAAGAATAGCTAATAATAAAGTTCTTTTCTCAGCAATACTATGAGTTACTTCTTTTCTGTATCTTTGGATGAATGAGGGGAATTTCAAGTGATTTCAGTATTGGATGAAACGTAATCCTCCCAGCCAGGGCCAGGCTTAATCAAGCATGCTAAGTAAACCTCCATGCCAGGCCACTCACACTGGGCAAAACTCCCAGGGCCAGTCAGCCTAGAAAAAGTAGATTGCCTCTGTATCACCAGGCCAGTGTTTTGCCCTCTGAATATGTAGTCCTCCTATCAGCTAGACTGCAGATGAGAAAGATTTCCTTTTACATGGTTTAATTTCAAGTAGTTGACTCCTCTACCCCCAATTAAGCCTTTGACTGAAAGAGAAGAACCCTGACTAGCCCATTTCTAGTCAAGTTGGAGGTAGAAACCAAATTTGTTAAAAATCACATAGAGGAAAATATGAAACAGTTACTGAGAGATTCTTTATTTCTGTCCACATGTCGAAGGCAGTATGAAAGAGAATAATGTACCATGTCAGGCAGCTCTGTACTATTTTATATTATTTAATACTCTGGGATATTATCTCTTAGATGTGGAAAATGAGAATGCGCATTAACTTGCCAGCATTTCCTCCTCTAGCATATGACAGGCCTGGAGTCTTAATTCTAGCTCTAAAGCTCCCTCCACTACACCCTGTGCCATAGGACATTAGTAATCGAGATCTTCTTATTCTGAAGTCCATTCTCTCTCTCTAACCCACTTCTTGGATAAAGTCTGTACAGACTTGTACCAAATTTTGCCCTGTAACAAAGTCTATTTAAATTTCTAAACTTTGAGAAAAGCCACTTTTTTCTGAGCTTCCTCATTTATGAAATGAAAATGATGAAAAATAGCTATGTGGATCGTTATAGACAAATCAAGCATCAGAAATTACTTGTAACTGACATACAGACATCACCAAGCATATTTAATGCCTCAAGTAACTTGAATTCACAGAGTGGATTGAGAAGCAAGCTCTATAAGTATCTCAGAGAACACCACCTGCTTACTGGCCACAGCCTAGACTTCACCCTATTGTGCCTATTGGCCTTTGGCCACTGGAGGCTGACCCAGTCTCACAGCCTCCAGGAAGCATCCACCTCTCTGGAGAGTTACAACCCAGGCAGTTCACCCAGGAGGCAGCTTTCACAGTAGGCGGGGTCAGACAAGTCCTG